ATATAATATATATATAAATAAAGAAGTAGAGTGTTTTATTCCTCCAAAATTACTACATACGATGCGGTTAGCTTCCTTTAGATGCATATGTATATGATTAGGCTCTCTTATTAACTTCTTTGCTTCTGTACACCAGTCTTAGTATATATGGAACTTAAATTCTTATTTTAGCAATGTTATGTGGTGTTGGAGGAGAATACTGAAAGTGCCATGGCTGCCAAAAGAACCAATAGATCCGTTTTGGAAGAAGTGCAGCCAGAGTGATCCTTGGAAGCCAGGAAGGCCAAACTTCATCTCTCATACTTTGGACATATTGTCACAAGGGACCAATCATTGGAGAAGGATTTCATGTTTGGTAAGGTGGAGAGTCAAAGAAAAAGAGGAAGACCCCCAACGAGATGGATTGACCAAGTGGCAGCATCAATGGGCTCAAGCATGGCACCAGTAGTGAGGTTGGCCCAGGATCAAGCAGTGTTTCATTCTGCTGTGCATAAGGTTGCCATGGGCCGGTTCTGACCTTATGGAACCTAACAACAACAACAACATATGGGCTTTGGGGATTACTTAAAATAGTTGAAATCATAATATTATATCATGACTTTCAAGAATTGACTGAATTTTATTCTGTAACTTAATTTTGAAATTTAATAATGTGTAAGGAGCTCTGGTAGCGTAGCGGTTACGAATTGGGCTGTGAACCACAAGGTCAGCAGTTTGAAACTACCAGCTGTTCCACGGGAGAAAGATGAGGCTTTCTGCTCCAGTAAAGATTTACAGCCTCGGAAACCCTGTACCAGGGTCGCTATGAGTCAGAAACAACTCCATGGCACATAACAACAACAACAGGTAGATTCAACTTGAGTTTTTGGCATATTTTTGTTTTAGCAATGCATTTCCAGAATTACAGCACAGGTGACAAGAAAACACACTTTGAATAACACAAATACAACTATTCAGAATTATTATACATACTACTATATAATAAAGGATTTTCACATTAGTTATTGTGTATTCATGAAAACCTTGGAATCCTCATGTGATGCTGCAAGTTAATGTGCCAGAGTATAAGTTCGTTTGAACTGCAAGGTCGGTGGTTCAAGCTTACCAGCAGCCACTCCTTGGTATGACTTGACACTTAACAACAACAACAACAATAGCAAGACATTTCACTTAGCCATTGAACAAGAGTGGGGTATTTTTTTTCTGCCAAAATTTATAACATCATTCCCAGGCCATACAAAATTATCAACTTAAAAATTAACTTGCTATATTTGGTCAGAAGGAGCTCTGGTAGCGTAGTGGTTACGAATTGGGCTGCGAACCTCAAGGTCAGCAGTTCGAAACTACCAGCTGCTCTGCGGGAGAAACATGAGGCTTTCTGTTCCTGTAAAGATTTACAGCCTCGGAAACCCTGTTCAGGGTCACTATGGATTGGAACCGACTCGACGGCACCTAACAACAACAACGTATTTGGTCAAACATTTAATTAACTCACCACTAATGATATACCCTGAGTAAAGTTTCTGTATATAGAAATGGCTACAAGCATACATTGATAGAGAACTTCCAAAGGTTCAAGCTGGATTCAGAAGAGGCTGTGGCATGAGGGATATCATTGCTGATGTCCAGTGGATCTTGGCTAAAAGCAGCGAATATCAGAAAGATGTTTACCTGTGCTTTATTGACTTGCAAAGGCTTTTGATTGTGTGGATCACGACAAGCTATGGACATCATTGCGAAATATGAGTGTTCTGGAACACTTTGCTCATGAGGAATCTGTAGATGGACCAAGAGGCAGTTGTTTGAACAGAATATGGGAACACTGAATGTTTTAAAATTAAGAAAGGGGTGCAACAGTGTTGTATTCTTTCACCATACTTATTCAACCTGTATGCTGAGCAAATAATCTGAGAAGCTGGGTTATATGAAAAACATGGCATCAGGATTGGAGGAAGACTTATTAACAACCTGTGATATGCAGATGATACAACCTTGCTGGCTGAAAGTGAAGAGGACTTAAAATATTTACTGATGAAGATCAAAGAGCACAGCATTCGGTATGGATTACATCTCAATGTAAAGAAAACAAAAATCCTAACCACTGACCAATAAACAACATTCTTAGCAATGGAGAAAAGATTGAAGTTGTCAAGGACTTCATTCTTCTTGAATCAACTATCAACACTCATGGAAGCAGCAGTCAAGAAATCAAACGACATCTTGCATTAGGCAAATCTGCTGCAGAAGATCTTTTAAAATTGTTGAAGAGCGAAGATGTTAACTTGAAGACTAAGGTGCACCTGACCCAAGCCATGGTATTTTCAATAACCTCATATGCATGTGGAAGCTGGACAGTGAATTAGGAAGACCATAGAGGAATTGATGCTTTTGAGTTATGGTGTTGGAGGAGAATATTGAAAGTGCCATGAGCTGCCAAAAGAACCGACAGATCTGTGTTGGAATAAGTGCAGCCAGAGTCCTCCTTGGATGCCAGGATGGCCAAACTTCATCTCTCATGCTTCAGACATATTGTCAGGAGGGACCAGTCCATGAAGAAGGATATCATATTTGGTAAGGTGGAGGGTCAGAGAAAAGAGGAATACCCCCAGCGAAATGAATTGGCAAAGTGGCAGCATCAGTGGACTCAAAAGTGGCAACGATAGTGAGGTTGGCCCAGGCCTGGCAGTGTTTCGTTCTGCTGTGTATAAGGTCGCTATCAGTCATTACTGACTCCATGGTACCTAACAACAACAACCACTAATGTGATGGCTAAGGAGCTCTGGTAAGCATAGTGGTTACGAATTGGACTTATGACTTTATGGTCAACAGTTAACAACTACCATTGTGAGAGAAAGATGAGGCTTTGTGCTGCCGTAAAGATCGACAGCCTTGGAAACCCTATGTAGGGTCGTTTTGAGTCGGAATCGATTTGACAGCACACCACCATCACCACCACCACCAGTGTGGTGGCTGGAACTGTGGTTGCTGGGTCAGGGCCAGACCAAATGATTTGCAGGCCATATATTTATTGCCTTTGGGCTAGGTGTTCCCCACCCCTGCCATAGAGGCTGATACAATACTGCAAACTTTTACAGATACAAGAAAAGTTATTTTTCTTATGAAGGAAACTAAATTGTATCTTTTTGTTTTGTTTTGTTTTACCTTGCTGCTATTTGTGTATAAATGGATTTATGTGAGAGTGATTTTATGATTTTATTCTTAGATATTATATTCTAGAAATAAGATGTTTCTGGTGTCATTTATTCCTTAATATTTTTGTTTCTGACTAATTTTTTTTTTTAAAGGGTGAAGCCACTTCATTATATCTCTTGGCTGGTTGGGCATGAAGGCAAAGGCAGCATTCTTTCTTACCTTAGAAAAAAGCAAGTATTCAATTAATAAGGAATTTTAGTTCAGATACTTCAGAAAAATATTAGTATTATTATTTACAAGCCATTTTTTTCTGTTTGCTTTAGATGCTGGGAAGCCTAGAATAAAATTGAAAGCTTAGTTACAGTCACTTTAATATCTTAGACTTTTTTAGCAGGCATTTCTTTTTTTTTTTTTTTGGTATATTTCATCATGCGATACCTTTTATCCCCTGTTGAAAGTAGTTATAAATTAATTTTTTTAAATCATAAATAAAACTATTTGATTCCAGAATTATATAAAAGGGTTAGCTCTAACCAAAAAATTTAGATTTGACTGAATTGTAAATAGTAGATTATTTATATGATGTGAATCTCCAGGTAGTCTCTCCTCTCCACAAAATGTGTAGGCCTTAATAAAAACTTTATTGAACAGACTGTATGTGGGATTGTGAACAATTTATGAAGTAATTCTAGCAGAATGTTTCCTAAGTATTAAGCACCGTTTATTGCTTATAGCACTATGGACTGCAAGGTTAGTTAAAACAAACCATAAGGTCGGCAGTTCACACCTACCAGCTGCTCCTTGGAATCCCTAGACAGAATTGCTATGAGTCACAACTGACTAGACAGCACTTAAGAACAACAACAACATAGCCAAATAAGGGAAATACAACTTTACTTTGGGATCAGGACTAGTAGATTAAAGTAATACCTTGATTTTAATTTTAAGCACTAATTAATTTGAGCTTGTAAAGATGATACGTGATGAGTATAATGTAAATAAGTGCTTAAAAATACTAATACTTAATAGAACAGTCAAAGAAAGCTGAGAGCCCAGGGTTATATTATAAAAGACTAAACTAATGACATTAGGTATATAGATGCCTTATACAATATAGTATAAAGTAATTTAATATAAAGTGCTTATAAACTTTAATAGAATTTCAAACAGTTGTTCTGACTTCCTCTCTCCTTGTTTTAGGAGTCTTCTAGTCAGGAAAAGATACAGTCTCATTACTTATTTCTTAAATAAGCTGTATAGGTTAGCTGATAGTCTCAAAGAGCACAGTTGACACTTCAAGTAATGCTACTAAATGATTTAAGGCTTTTTCTGGGAAGACAAGTGAATACTTCCTAAAAATTATCACTTTTTAGGATAAAAAGTGCTGTTCACTTTTTCAGCAAGAAATTCTATGGCTTTATAAAACTGTTAATGTTTTACTTTATTATAATGTGCATTAGTGTTTTATTAAAAAGGTAGTTTTTGATCATTTCTGCATTTACTGCAATTTCTTGGGAGGCTTTGTGTTTTAAAAAATTTGTCCTCTTAAGCTTACTGTTGTATGTTTTTGCATCTGTGGTTTCCAAATTTTACATAGAAAGCTCATCTATTTTGCTACTTTGACATGTTTATAGTTTATAAATCTCAAGATACTAATTGAATTAGTTTTTTATGTACTTCTAGATGCTGGGCTCTTGCACTGTTTGGTGGAAATGGTGAGACAGGATTTGAGCAAAATTCTACCTATTCAGTGTTCAGCATTTCTATAACATTGACTGATGAAGGTTATGAACACTTCTATGAGGTAAACAAGTAAAATGTACTTGTTTTTCTTTTATATAGCTATCACTTAATGCAGAAGACTAACCAGATGTTTTGTTTTTAGGTTGCTCATACTGTCTTCCAGTATTTAAAAATGCTACAGAAACTAGGCCCAGAAAAAAGGTAATAAATATTCTTAGAATGAAGCCAGTATTACCTTTTAGTCTTAAAACTTAGTAGACATTCTTTAGACCTTCCTTGATGGTATTTGAAGCCGTTTTCTTTACTGGCTTCCTATCTTTACATTTTTACATGTAAGTGTACAGGAAAGGTTTTATTTACTTGGCCTGTTTCTTTACTTTTATGTCTGTTTTGCTGATGATTCTAATGAAAAATTTGAATATGGTTTCTAATTGTAGTTTTCTTCTCTCATAGAATTTTTGAAGAGATTCAGAAAATTGAGGATAATGAATTTCATTACCAAGAGCAGGTACTGGAAGTCAAATTCATTTTGAATGTTGTCTGTGACTGATGTGGAGTTTGTTTCTCTCTTTTGAAATGTTACTGGAATTTTAATTCTGCTACTTTTGTCATATGGAGTCCTGGTATGAAGCTGTGGGTTAATGCGCCAGACTGCAAGGTCGGCGGTTCAAGATCACCAGCTACTCCTCAGAAACCCTATATAGGGTCGCTATGGGTCGGAATCCACTCCATGGCACTTAACAAAAACAACAACTTTTGTCATGTTGATTCTCAAAATGGCCTTGAGACTATCTGAAAAATTTAATTGTATTTGTGAATATTTATATTGAGTGACATTAAGGAGATTAAAGAAATGGACATAGATCATCTATCTGTGCAGTTATCTGTTCATTCCTCTGATAAATATTCATGAAGAGGTTGCTTTGGTATTTAATAATTTGGTAATTCAAATATTGCAAAGACATTTTATGAGGTAATCTGTATTAATTACCCTAAATCATATTTGAAACAGTGTGCTTTGGGATTTAATGAAAGGAGAACAGTGTCCTTGGTTGTAATAGGGTCAGGGAAGATTTCATGAATGTAGTAAATTTGAATTAAATTGAACATTTAAAAAAAATAGGTAAGATTTGAATATACTCTAGGCAAAGGGAGGCATTTCCTTTGGGTGTTGTTGTGAAAAAAAAAAGTAAATAATCCTGTCTGTACCATAGGGCATTTAAAAGGAAAAAGTAAATGAGGGTCAAAGGTCAGGTAGCAGTTTTTTTTATTATTTTAATAACAACTCATTTATGGCCTGGATACCTTTGCAAATCTGTTGAAGCATGTGGGCGCTTCCTCAGAATAATGGGCGCATTTTCTCAACTTTGTAAATTTTAAGAAAAATTGCCTTATATACATATGTACAATGATTATTGATAGGACCCTCACCCTTAAGTTGAGTCACCAAAGGTCAATTTTTTTGTTATAAAAATATACACAACATTTGGTGAATCTTATTTTTCATGTGTATAAATTAGTGATATCAATTACACTAATCATGTTATTATTGTTGTTGTTAAATGCTGTAGAATGAGTGCCGACTCATAGTGACCCTGTATAGGGTTTCCAAGGAGCTGTTGGTGATTTGGAATCGCCAACTTTTTAGTTCAAACTGGCTTTGCAGCCCAGTGCTTATCCTGTAGCGCCACACCACTAATAATTGTTACCAAATTTTCTGTCATCATAAACAGAAACACACTGTTTCATAATTGAGTTGGTTCCAATGCATAGCGATTCTGGATAGGGTTTCTGAAGAATGGCTAATGGATTTGAGTGGCCAACCTTGCTGTTAGTAGTCTAATGCTTATCCTACAGCACTACACTAGGACTCCCCCTTGTCTAGTAACCACTAATAAAACTTTAGTCTCTATTTGTCTGCTTATTCTAGCTATTTCATGTAAATTAAATCATATAATATTTGTCTTTTTGTGATTATTTTGCTCAACATAATATTTTCCAGGTTCATCTATGTTGTAGCATGCTTTTTTTTTTTAAGTTTTTATTGTGAATTGAGTGATAGTTTACATGGGAGAGCATCGGCATTACACCATCGTTTCATTGTAATGATTATAATCTCCTCCATGAACCATCATTCAACAGTATTTGCTTCCATTCCCTTTTTTTATTTTGGAGGGGGAGGTGGTGAGGGTGGGTTGTACACAGAAACACTCAGGAATAAATAATAATTTAAACAATCAAAGGGCACATTCTGTAAGCTTGTCTCCTGGTTGCCAGTACCCAGTCCCTCTCTTTCCATGAGTCCAGAGTCCTCAGTCCTCAGATGCTCCCTCTCTCCATGTCCTCATCTCTGCCTCCATCTTTGGTGTCGCTGCTTCTCTGGATAAGGTCCTGCACTCAACTAATCAAGATAAACAGTAATAAAGAAAATGTTTTATAGTTAAGCTAGCCATTCCATAGTCAAGCTAATTTAGGGATATCATGTAAAGGAGAAAACATGAAATGATGCACATAGTACAGTTTCTATAGGGCTATGCTGTGATTTTCCTTAAAAAAGAGAAAAAGTCTGAAAAGCATTGTGGGGAGGGGCGAAGAAGAAACTGAAAATCTAGCTAGTGCTCATAGGTGAAGCCTCTTCCACTTCTCTTTTGCTAATTTTTCTATCCCAATCCACTCTACTTCCAGTCAGTAGCCCGGAGAGGCTGCCATTTCTACTCCCTAAAGCACAGATAAAAGCCCTGCCAGGCTGAGATAGAGACAGAGATGATGATGTGGAGTGATGAAGCAACTGGGGACTTTGGACCCAGAGAGAGAAAGGGGCTGTGGGCCGAAAACTGGGGGGAGGAGGGGGAAGTGTAGGGGGCGGGTTTCTGGGATATACCTTTTGGGTGGTTGATGATGCATGAAGGGGATTGGAACCATGGCAATGAGATGATATACGATGGAATGAATGTAAAACTAAAGTTCTCCCATGTAAACTATCATATAATTCACAATAAAACATTAAAAAAAATAAATAAATAAAGCCCTGCCAGGAATATGTGTTTGTTTAAACAGTTGATCCTAAGGATAGTACTAGTTGCCTTATTAATTTGTTTTTGTTTTTTTTTTTCAAAAGACAGCCAAGCATCTTAACATTATTGCCCCCCTTTTGCCCATTCCAACCATGTTACAATCCCTGTTTCCCAGAGCCCTGTTGTTCCAAGGTTGTATATACATTGTTATTAACCTCTGTCCCACTCATGCCATGCAAACCTGTTTGTTTTCCCATCAGCCTTATACTTCCATTCCCTTCCCCCTTCTTGTGTATTGTCCACTCCCCCAGCACCCAAATTATCCTATGTCTATTCCCTACCCTGTGCTCCTCTTCTCACCCCCCCGCCCCCCCCCATTCCCGTAACCAGCACAGAAATTCCCCCCACCCCCCCACTCCCTTTAGTATGGGCTCCTTTTCTTTTGTCTTTTATAATAGTGGTCCTATGCAATATTTCTCCTTTTGTGACTGACTGATTTCACTCAACATAATGTCCTCAAGGTTCATCCATGTTATGTGGTAGCTTACAGCTTTCTTGTTGTACTTCAAGGTAGCATAATATTCCATTGTGTGTATGTACCACAGCTTGTTTATCCATTCTTCAGTTGATGGGCATTTAGGGTGTCTCCATCTTTTTGCTGTTGTAAACAGTGCTGCTACGAACATTGGTGTGCATATATTTACTTGTGTTATGGCTCGTATTTCTTGTGGGCAAATACCAAGTAGAGGAATTGCTGGATCATAAGGTATTTCTATTTCCAACCTTCTGAGGAAGCACCATATTGATTTCCAGAGGGGTTGGACCATTTTGAAATCCCACCAGCAATGCAGGAGCATCCCAGTCTCTCCACTTCCTCAACAGCACTTATTGTTCTCTGCTTCTTTGATCTTTGCTGTTATTGCTGGTGTGAGATGGTATCTCATTGTTGTTTTGATTTGCATCTTTCTCATGGCTAGTGATTGTGAACATTTCTGTAGCATGTTTTTTATATTGAGTAATATTCTATTGTATGTGTGAACTGCTTTTTGTTATCCATTCATCTGTTTGTATACCCTTAAGTTGTTTCCACCTTTTGGCTCAATTATTAATCTTTTATCATATTTTCTCTTTCGCTCTCTTATGTATTCTCATTTGTGAGCATACCCCCACCCCAAACTATGTGAGAGTTAATTACAGAGGTCCTGACACTTCATCCCTCAAAGTTTTTTGTGCATAACTCAAGTTCAGTTGTCACAGTGGGGAAATTTAACATTGAAGCAGTATTATTACCTAATATACAGTTCCATTGTGGTGCTGTAGAGTAAGCACTGGACTGCTAACCACAAGGTCAGTGATTCAAACCCACCAACTTCTCCTTGGAAACCCTAAGCAGGGTCACTATGATTCAGAATCAACTTGACAGCATTTTATAACAACAACAACAATATACAGTCCAGTGTTTTTAAATGTATAAAATAAAGCATAATAGATTACAAAGAGATATTGAAATAGCTTTAATTAATAAAATAATATGCTCCTATTTAGGTATGAGTCGGAACTCACTGGCACTTACCAACAACATTAATGTGAGGGTAAATAAAATATTGTTACTGGGTTCCAATTCATACATGGGCAAGTTTATTCAAAACAAAATATGTTTAAGTGTGCCTATGTGAGCAGTGGATGGTTGCAGACAAGATCTCTCAGTAATACACTTGTCTTAGTTTGGGTAGGGTACCTTTTAAAGAAATAAGGGATGCTTTTTGTGCCATGGAAAAAAAATTAATTTTGAGATCAGAGCTAATATCAAAATTTCAGCAAAACTAAAGTGGACATTTTCCCAAATCATTGATGCTTTGCAACAAGTTTACAGAAATGCCATCACACATAAAACAACAGTTTTTTGATGGATCAAACATTTTAAGAAAGGTCAGGAAAACCTCAAAGATGAACCAAAAGAAGGAAGACTGCCAACCTCAGTGAATTAAGAAACTGTGGCTGAAATCCAGAAACTGATGACGAAGACTGTAGAATTACCACTGATGCATAGCTACTGGAGTTGGGATCTTACATGGTTCAGCGTTTTTAATTTTAAGTGAACATCTTGGCTTCAGTAAGCTTTTAGTTCCATGGTTGCCAGAAGTATCACATAAAGATTACCTAGTTCAAAGTGCTGATCTTTTCATTAGTCTTTTAAGCAAAATAAAAGTTAATGAAGATAATTTTATGGAACAAATCATAACCAGGAATGAGTCTTGTATTTACAAATAGGATCCAAAGAGTGAGGTTCAATCAAAACTGTGGCTTTTGAGGCCAGAAAAGTCGTGCTGAGGAAATTTTCCCATCACGACAATTTACCTGCTCATTCTTCAAGGGTAGAAAGGGTTGTGCTATGAGAATTTTGCTGGGAAGCCTTACCCCATCCATTCTACAGCTCCAATCTTGCCCCTTCAGACTTTTTATTCTCCAAAGTCAAAAAACATTTCAAAAAATAAAATTTTAGTTCCTGAGGATGCCAAAATAATTCTTTTAATGTGCTGTAAATTGAAGAGCTCAGAATACTTTTAGGGAGAGGGTTAGAGATGGAAACACAGCATTCAGAAGTTTCCAGGCCTAGATGGAAGATATGATGAGAAATAATACCTTCTCATTTTGATGTTTGTTTAATAAAGATTTCTATAAATTTTGTAGCTTTATTTATATTTACTTGTATAACAAATACCAAAGTCTAGCAGGAGGTCTAATCATTATCACAATTTTGAAGTAGCATTGAACATAAATTATGTTTTGAGATATCTGCAACAACTATATCATGATATGAAACTAACTGTGATTTTATTGGTAATAAAGTCACAGGCACTATTGATACTACTGTGGTTTATTGCCTACATTCATAATGTGTTTAAAACTAGTTTGCAGAGCATCTTTAAAGATGGTTTTAGGATCATCACCAGAAACTTTTGAATATTATGTAGGGGAAACTTAGTATATGAGAACAAGGCTACAAAAACTGTTAAGATTCTAGTTGCCATTAACTAGAATCTTCTTTATCATTGTCTTCACTGTCTATATTGTCTATATCACTGTCTATATTGTCTTCTTTATCATACAAGTCTCTCTAGTTAAGACATTTCAATGATATCTTTTTACTAGCATTCCTAAATTTTATAGCTCCTTATTAATTTTTTCACATTTGACAATATTAATGAATATTTGCTTTAATTGAAAAAAAAATATGAGCCCAAAACAGCTTAGACTAAAGTCTTGTTATTAAAAAATAAGAAACCAACAAAATCCATTTCTCTGCATGTAATGTTAAATTAACTCTAGTAGCTCAGTATATTTGTTTTATTTCTGTTTTAAGCAAAGTTAAGGATGTCTTTCTTCAGACTTTTTTCTGGTCTCCAGCAATAAAGGCAAATGGTAATGTCTTGTTCATTCATCAAGCTATTCTTCATGGTATTATTTGAACTGGAATGTGATAAGAAAAACTTTTTGACTAAGTACTTTTCAGTAGGCAGAAAAACAAGAATAATAAAGTGACAATTGGAAATATAAAGCTGCGAAAGGTCATAATGAACCCAAAAGTGGATAAACTAGACAAGTGTTGAAAAGATTGTAAAGAATTGGAATCCTCATAAATTGCTGACAGGAATGTAAAATGTTGCAACTGCTCTGGAGTAAGAGTCTGGCAGGTCTTCAAAATTTAAACTTAGAGTTGTCATATGACCTAGCACTTCCCTACTAAGTATATGCCAAGGAAAATGAAAACATATTTTACACAAGAACTTGTACATGAATGTTCTTAGTAGCATTATTCAAAAGTGGAAACATGGAGTCCTGGGGTGGTGCTGTAGGATAAGCACAAGGTCGGTTTGAATGCAAGATCAGCAGTTCAAACTCACCAGCTGCTCCTTGGAAACCCTATGCAGGGTCACTATGAGTCAGAATTGACTTGATGACACTTAACAGCAAGGTAGAAACAACCTAGATGTCAGTTGACAAATGAATAAATAAAATATGTTCTACCCATACAATGAAACATTCAGCTGTAAAAAGGAACAAAATACTGAGTCATGTTATAGCATGGATGAACCTTTACATTATTCAGAACCAGACACAAAAGGCCACTATATACTCTATGATTCCATTTATATGTCTAGATCAGGTAAATCTATAGAGACAGAAAATAGATTAGTGATTGCTAGGGAGTGAGTGCTTATTTATGAACAGTTTCTTTTTGAGGTTATGAAAGTTTCTGAAATTAGTGTCAGTGGTTGCACAATTTTTAATATAGTAAAAAATTCACTGAATTACGTACTCTAAAAGGGTGATTTTTATTACATATGAATTTTTCTCCAGTATAAGGATTGCATTGAATGCTGTCCCCCTGTTACTTTTTCCATTGCGTTGCTACCAAAGTTATATTTTTAGCAAGGGTTTCTAGTGTTTTCTCATAGTAAGTACTTTGAGTTACTCAGTGTTATAGTATAAAAATTAGCACACTTAACTTAGATAAAAGGAACTCTGGTAGCATAGTGGTTATGAATCGGGCTGCGAACCACAAGGTCAACAGTTCGAAACTACCAGCTGCTCAATAGGAGAAAGATGAGGCTTTCTGCTCCTGTAAAGATTTACAGCCTCGGAAACCCTGTTCAGGGTCGCTATGGGTCGGAATGGACTCGTTGGCACTTAACAACTACAACAACAACAACTTAGATGAAGTGATTAGTAAAAGTAATTGATTAAAGAAATTAGAACAGGGTTGAAGGAATCATTTAAACAATAATACTTTAATAATTAGTTAACCTGTTAATTCAGGAATGTTTATTGAAATAGGGCTAAAACAAAGCAACAATCACTCAAAAAATCCCAAAACTAACAGTGAATCTGTTTTTACTTTATTCTTCTGTGATAATGTAATAGATAACAAATACATACATGTGGTCTCTGGTTTGACATTTGCATTTCATCTCATGTGTACAGTAACCTTTTTTTTTTAATCCCCCATTAGATGAAAACAATCGTATTGTCCAGTAAAGAATTGGGCAGTGTGATGTTGTGGAAAAAGCATTTGCTGATATGTTCCAAAACCAAACCAAACCTATTGCTATTGAATTGATTCCAACTAATAGCAACCCTATAGGACAGAGTAGAACGGCTCCATAGGGTTCCTGAGGCCGTAAATCAGAGCAAACAGCCTCATCTTTCTCCTGTGGAGCAGCTGGTGGCTTCAAACTGCTGTCTTTTAAAAGGTTAGCAGCTCAGTGCTTAATCAGCTGCACTACCTGGACCCCAGCTTATCTGTTGGAGACCAGAATTATAATTTCTGCTCTGCCTGTCACTTATTCATTGGGTGACCTTGGTCAGGTCATTTCATTCTGAGTATTCATCTTAACTTATGGAGATAAAAACATTTGGTATCTGAAGGACCTGTCATTTTTAAAATTTTGTGTATCTAGATGCCCAAAGGAGTCCTCGTATGGCACTGTAGGATACGCGCTTGACCTTAAAGTCAGTTTGCACTGCAAGGTTGGTGTTTCACACTTATTAGCCACTTCTCAGAAACACTATACAGGGTCACTATGAATCAGAACGGAATCTATGGTATGTAACAACAGATGCCAATAAATACTTGAATTGATTGGTTTCCTATGAAAAAGTAGTTCCATTTCAAGTCACAGAACTTGTGATCACTTAATTTTAAATTGAAATAATATGCTTAGTATTATACCTTTATCATAATGTTGTTGTTAAGTGCTGTCAAGTTGGTTCCGACCCATAATGACCCTGTATAGGGATTCCGAGGCTGTAAATCTTTACGGGAGCAGAAAGCCTCATCGTTCTCCTGTGGAACCGCTGGTAGTTTCGAACCGCTGACCTTGAGGTTAGTAGCTTGACTCGTAGTCACTACGCTACTGCCATGATTGTATAGTGGTTATCATAATACTTCTATATAAAGATACATTTTTCTATATTGATATGGTTCATGTTTACAAATACTTTTTAGGTTCTAGTGCTGTAGTGATAAGATGATGATGACCCTGTCTTTAGGTACTTCACAGCCATGTGAAGAAGCATTCATAGTTCATTGGGATAATTGCTTTCAGGAAGAGGCTAGAATCAAGGTGTTGTAGAGCTCAGGATGGGAGTTAGAGGGGTGTGAAGTTAAGCATCTTAAGGTAGTAGCTAATGTTTCGGTTTCATCAAATTCGGAATATCAGAATTGTAAGTTGCACCTGTTGAGGTTTCTGGTTATTTGTGTAATTAGAAGCTTCTAGTTTAATTAATACTTTAAAAAGAATATTTTCATATGACAGGGAATGAAGGATAATTATGAGGAGATTCTGGGGTTGAACTAATTTTACTTCTTTATAGACAGATCCAGTTGAGTATGTGGAAAATATGTGTGAAAACATGCAGCTGTATCCACTGCAGGACTTTCTTACTGGAGATCAGCTTCTTTTTGAATACAATCCGGAAGTAAGGAGGCTTCCATTTCTAAAACTTACTTTTAGGGGAAGAAGAACATGAAAAGTGCTGGGATGTACTTAAAAGCTGTGGAATGAAGAAAACACAGTTGTTTTTAATCAGCTTATTTGTTAATTTGCATAAACCTAAGAACCATCAATAGTTTTGCAGATAATTTTTATGATCCTTGCACCATCGTATTTTAATAATTAACCATTTATCTCTGAGACAGGAGTGTTGTTTTCTATAAAATGGGTATACCTTAGGATTGTTTTTAGAATTAAATAAAAACAATGTATGTTAAATATTGCTTGGCACACAGTAAAAGCTAAGTAAATGATAGTGATTTTTACTACTAGTATGTAGGATTTGAATTGAACACTGTACATTATTAAGAAACATATTTGAAATAATATATTATTGAAGCTTTGTGAATTACAGTGTTTATGGACTATAGATAGATAGTTTCACAAGTACAAGATCTAGGATCTTGGAGGCACCTAAAATAATGTGGTTTTGCTTCAGAAGGGGATTAGGTTAAAATTGTTGTTTTTATGTTTGTGTGCCATCTTCCATTCCTTTTATTAGGTCATTGCCGAAGCACTTAATCAGCTAGTTCCTCAAAAAGCAAATCTTGTTCTTTTGTCTGGTGCTAATGAGGGAAAATGTGATCTCAAGGAGAAGTGGTTTGGGACTCAGTATAGTATGCAAGGTAAAAAAATAATAATTTTTTTTCAACAGTTTTCTTATATTTGGGTTTATCTGACTTACCTTGGGAATTTCTACATCTGAATAATTTTTAATCTTAAAAACAAAAGTTATAATTTTTAAAACATGAAAAATACATTACTTTGTAGGAACTGATTTTTTGCTGTTTTCTTATATTTATATCTACTAAGTAGTGAAACACCAGCTGCTCCTTGGAAACTCTATACAGGGTCGCTTTGGGTTGGCACTTAACAATCAATGGCACTTAACAACAACAACAAGTAATGAAAAGGTCCTGTTTATTGGCGTTTTAAAGGGCAGAGTTGTTTTGTTTTTTAACTGTACTATAGAAAAATGTATCTCAAGCTTAAGTGTGCATATGTAGCACCTGGAGATGTTATTAAAACAGAATCTGATGCAGTAAGTAGGGCTTGAGATTCTGCAGGTCTAACAAGCTCCCATGTGTTACCAGTGCTGCAGGGATCAGGCTTTCAGGTGCAAGATTCAAGAATGCCTGGATAGATTACTCACAGAAAGAACTGGTTTGTGAAGTCCATTTGATAATTGGGTTGTTATTAAGAGACTTTTGATCATTGCATTGTTTACTCAGTTTTTTGGTTTTTTTTCCCCCTCTCTATAGATATTGAAAACTCTTGGGCTGAACTATGGAATAGTAATTTCGAATTAAACCCAGATCTTCATCTTCCAGCTGAAAACAAATACATAGGTTAGTGAAATAGCAATCATTTTATATAATCCATCTGGGTACTAATAACTAAAAGACTTGCATAGTATATTCCATCTTCTTTAAGTATCATATAAACTCATATTTGAGCTTGCTAGTAATACTCTAGGGTAGGCAGTATTGTTTTCTTACTTTTCCAAGTGAGAAAACTGAGGTTTGAAAGACAAAGTGACCTGTCCGAAACTATTCAGTTATTGAATTGTGATTCTGTGAAACTTTCCCCACCCCCAACACATTATAACTGATCTTTCATATAAATCTCCTTATGAATTGCCATTACTTGTCAGATTGTTCTAGTTTCTCAAACTGCAGGTTACAGCCCATAAAAGGGTTGTGAAGTTAATGTAATAGATTATGAGGTAAATGAAATTGGGTTGTGAAAGTATTTTCAAAACCAGTTAGAATGGAAAGTAGCAAGATTTTTAATTGTAGGGGATCTTTTAAATTTTTCATGGAAAAATGGAATTAAAAGATAATTCCATTATCTATTAATCTCCATTATTTCATGAACTTTTTGAAGCTAATTCATAAATAAAGGGTGTTATTTAAATAATTTTTGTTACAAATAGGTGTGTATATCTCTGTCAACTAGCTGGCAATGTAAAACATTTCTTAACTATGGATTGCAGTAAATAATTCAGAAAGGCACTGATTTTGATCAAAGGTTTCATAGTTATATATAACCAGCATTTTTTTTTTATCACCCACATTTGTTGTCATTAATTTGAAAGGACAGGTTTGGCCTTAATACAACCTTTTGTAACTTTTCAAATGTCCACAAGAATGGATTCATTTATAATTTTTTTTTTTTTTTTTTATGAAGAGCTTCAAAAAGTTTATGGAAAAATTGAATGAAAAGATAACTGAATTTTTTTACGAACTTTTTGAAGCCCTCTTATTATGTTCTGCCCAAAGAAGGACCAGAACCTCTTACTGTTAGTATTGTCTTTGTGAATGGAATAATGCAGAATAGAAAGAAGAATCATTTCTCTGATCTTTACGAGTACCTTTAGTTTATGGATAAGATAATTTTTCTCTAATATTCTATTAATTTATTGTGTTCCAGTATTTTAATTTGCTTATTTCGCCATAAATAAACTTAGACTTCTTAGACCTTGAACCAAGAATAGATGGCTGGGAATCCTGTTAAAATATCTAAATGAATTTTTTTTCTTTTTTCTTTTGTCAGCCACGGACTTTACATTGAAGGCTTTTGATTGCCCTGAGACAGAATACCCTGTTAAGATTGTGAACACTGCCCAAGGTTGCCTGTGGTATAAAAAAGACAACAAATTCAAAATCCCCAAAGGTAAAAATGTTTCCTTCCCTTAAAGGAGCGAAATAAGTGTAACAAAGCTTTTGGATTTTGCAGCAACATTTCCCCCCTTGTATCTATCACTTACCTTTCTTTCTCTTTCTCTTTCCATTTGAAGGCTTTTTCTAGGATTATCTATCAGGTCCATACTACACCTTTACTGTCACAGAAATTTTGGTAGGCCCTCCAGATTCCAGGAGATAAATATTTAAACCTAGAATGAAATTGTTTTCAGTTATTTATCTTTCAGTTAGATGAAAGCAGAGTCAAGTGGTAGACCATTTTAAGGAGTTAGTGGTATTATTTGAACATTATTTTTAAAACCAGATGGAATAAAATTATCTAGAAGGAAATTATTCCTAGACATAATAGTGTAGTCCATCACTACAGATGTGAACTCTTCCCCATCTGGCTCCCTTTACCTTTTGCTTGTCAGCATAAAAGAAGTATAGTGTACAGATAAACAGACTCTTAAAGTCCATGTCTTCTCTTGACATGATGGCTCAAACTCTATTAATTTTGTTATTTTTCTGTTCTTACGTATGACATGAAAATGTAGGAATCTTGGAATCATACAGAGTGTGTTTTAATACATTTAATCCATATCCCCAATCTCAAACACAACTATATTGTAGTTTTGTGGGATTCTTGAATTTATTGGGAAGGTATTTCTACTGTCTTTCTTGAAAAGTGTAGAAAAGTTTCTGCAAATGTTAACATTTATTCAGCTTCCTTGAAAAGGCTCTGCTATAACTTTCTGGCATTCTGTGTTTTCTTACTTCTGTTCTTTTTTCTTTCAGCATATATACGTTTTCATCTGATCTCACCTTTGATACAGAAGTCTGCTGCAAAGTAAGGAATTTTCCTCTTTTCTGGAATATAATTTTTATTGTTGAAAAACTAAATTTTGCTATGTTTCATTCTGAATCATCTTATGTTTTTCTCCGACAGTTCTTGAGCTGTGCTGTTGACTGAGTTATTATTTTCTATATCCCAAACAAGATATGTGTCTAAATTGTTGTTGTTGTTGCTGTTGCTATTATACTGTTGAGTTGGTAAAATGGACCTGTGACTGCTACATTGTTAGCACCCAAGCATACTGATAATGAAGGCTAGTCATAGAATTACTGGATTGAGAAACTTTCTTAGAGTTTCAGTTTGGGAATAGCTTCCAGTCTGTAATGAGGATTGGTAGATCTACTGATCCTGTGTTTAGAGAATGTCAGAATGACAATACCTTGGTGTTAAGCAGAGAACATCTTATTTATATAGTCAGCTATATTGTGGAAGATTAGAGAGCCTAAAACAGTAACTGACACATAGGAGGTGCTCAGCCAGTGTTCGTTTACTTCTTCCTTTCCTTTACCACTAAGAATGTAAAATTCAACCTTAAAATGACAAACAGAATGAACATTTATTAATAAATCCATTTTAAAGAATGCATTACCTGTCTCTCTTCCCTCAGAAATTTTTAGTTTTGTAGGTTAGAAAGCTGAGGGCCTCGGGTAGTCAAAGCCTACAGCTCAGTTCACTATAGTGGTGTTTTCATTAACCCTGTTGTTTAGTATGTTGTTGTTAAATGCTGTCGAGTCAGTTCCTACTCATAGTGACCCTGTATAGGGTTTCCCAGGAGCAGCTGTTCAATTGCTGACCTTGCAGTTAGCAGTCCTGTACTTATCCTACCACACACCACACCAGGATTCCATATTAGAATTTTCTATGAATGCATACATGATATGAAAAGGATTGGGAAGCACTGCAGAAGGTAGGAGTTCTAAAATTGAGTACTGAATAAACCTGAACTCTTAGTACACTGATTTACATTTTGGAGTAGTAAATTTAATACCTTTCCAAAAATGAAATTCCTTACTTTAAATTGAAACAAGACATCTTGTCTATTTCTTATTAACTGATGCTGCTGCTATTTGCATTTTATACTTTACAGTGTGGTCCTCTTTGATATCTTTGTTAACATCCTTACCCATAACCTTGCGGAACCAGCTTATGAAGCAGATGTAGCACAGTTGGAGTATAAACTGGTAGCTGGAGAACATGGTTTAATTATTCGAGTAAAAGGATTCAATCACAAACTCCCTGTAAGTACAAATGTTGTGTTTTCCTAGACAGAGCTCTAAAATATGTTTGTTGCCCCTATAGTACCAAGAATAGCAGCACATACATGGTGTGCTGTACATAGAAGGAAACTGATGTGTGTTAACATGAGTTTTCTTGGCTGGTGACACCTTTTCTCACTTCAACTGGCCATACATAAGAGCATTTTATTAAGTATTGACAATGCACACAGATATAGCTCTTTCTTCAGGCCTCCTTTCAGTTGTCATTGCTGTCAGTTTTTCTGCAGCCAATACTGGCATATAGGACTGTTCTGAGCTTAATGTCATACCATACAACAATAACAGATTTAAAGAACCTAGGCCTTTACAAGGAGCCCTGGTGGCACAGTGGTTAAGCACTCAACTGATAATCCAATGGTTGGTGTTTTGAATCCACCAGCCACTCTGTGATAATGATGTGGCTATCATTCTGTAAAGATTTACAGCCTTGGTAACCCTATGGGCAGTTCTACTCTGTTCTGTGGAATCACTATGAGTTGAAATTAAATATTCATTTAAAACTCAAATTTTTGTTTCTTTTCTTCTTCATGTACTTTCATTGTTTTATGTATGTGTGTTTTGTTTTCCTTCCAAGTTTATGAGCCTTTAAAAAACATATCTACATCCTGTCAATAATTTATCTCTTGGCAAGAAATGTACTTCAGAAATGCTTTGTTAAAAACTCTAAGTTTAGGAAGAAATTCTATGGGCTACTACTAGCTAAGAGGGTTAGATCTTTAAATATCAAGTAAAATAATACAGTGTATTCAACAATAAATTTTTTTAATCTAGATTTCTTGAGTAGAACAGTTGTTGTAGTAATGTTTGGGAACTGGGTTTATACAAGACAGTTCTAGGAAAAAGGACCTTGTGCACCTGGAGTGGCTAGAAGAACAGAAGATACTTCTTGAAAGAAAGACCTACAGGAAAAATATAAAACAACATAGGCAGACCGACTGTTACTACAAGAACAAGCAACATGCTTGCCCAGGAAACATCAAGGCAAGTGGTCGGGTCCCCTCAGTGCAAACCCCCTTCCAAGACTAAGACTCAGTGGGAATACACGCTGTGATTGGTGACCACGCTCGACACCGATAAGGGGAAGTGAGGGAAAAACAGCAATGAAGCAGTGAGCTAAGGCCTACAACGTTCAATAGACTTCTGTGAACCTGGGTGAAGACCTGGTTGGCCACCAGTGTGGCAAGACCTGGGGACTCTTGGGCCCAGAGTCAGTGACATAGCCACAGAGGACTAGAGTGGAGAGTGAAGCTTTCAGCTGATAAGAAGAGAGGGCATATGCATAAGGACACCCACACTTGCAGATAATACCCATTTATCCTGGCTTCAGTGACTGGATGATCAGAGCTCAACCAGAAGTAAAAAGAAGAGGGGGAAAAAAAAAAGTATCCTCATACAATTTGATGAACTTGACCTACACCTATGGAAGCAGTAGCTCAAAAGAGGGAACAAGTCCTTATAGCAAGAATCATTCCCACACCCTCCACAAACAGAGTAGACAGGGATGGGCAACTTGGACATTGGCTACCCAAAATGGGGGGTGGGGGGCTACAAAGGCAAGAAGTGACTGCCTTACAAGCTTTCAAGAGGGAACCTAGATCCAGAGGACATGGAGGAAGGTAGAATCTCCAGTGAGTAGTAGTCCGTTTGTCTAGGCGGGGTTGATGCAATGAAATGCAGACAGGTCTCTTGTGATACAATAGTGAATAATTGTTATCAGGACTGATTGTGAGGATTGGAAATATAAAGGTAGACGTTTTATAGCAAGGAGGGGATTGATTAACTTTTCAGTCTAGGAGCGGAGGTCCCTAGGACCATCAAGGGAGAAGAGCAGAGAGTGGGACCCTACCCAGAGAAGCAGTGATGCCTGAAATAGAGCCAGAGATGATGATGTGGAGCGATGGAGCAGCTGGAGACTTTAGATCCACAGAGGGAGAGCGACTGTGTGCTAAAGACCTGGGGGGTATGGGGAAAGGATTGCATGGAGGGGATTGTAACCATGGCAATGAGAGACAATATACGATAGAATGAATGTAAAACTAATGTTCTCCCATGTAAACTATCACATAATTCACAATAAAACATTAAAAAAAAAAAAAAAAGGACCTTGTGCTAGGTAGGATAGGTTCAACTTCTGCTTGTTGTTGTTGTTCAGTGCCGTCGAGTCAGTTCCGACCCATAGCAACCCTGTACAGGGTTTCTGAGGCTGTAAATCTTTATGGGAGCAGAACGCCTCATCTTTCTCCTGCGGAGCTGCTGGTAGTTTCGAACTGTAGGCCTTAAGGTTCACAGCCCGATTCGTAACCACTACGCTACAACTTCTGCTAGGTAGGAAAAATTCCTTATCTTAGTGGAAGTCCTACATTAGAGGATAACTCTTAACTACATACACCCACTACCAGGCCTTGCTCCTTCAAGATGGCGGATCGGGTAGATGTGTAGTCAGGAGCTCGGTCAACAACAACACGGAACTCCGGGCCAATATGGCTCACGAGATAGTGTTGGAACTCTGAAACAAATATAAAGGTATGTTTGGAGGATCGGAGGGTTTACAGCTGGGGAATTTGAAGGGAATCCAGA